GCGACATTATGTGCCTTTCCCTCACTTCACATATTGTCGCCCCTCAGATATTGTTGCTTAAAGATTTTTTTGCTGTTTTTTTTTTGTGGTAGTTTTGTGAATGTAATTGGTTTGTAAATCACACTGACGTGTCTCAATGCTATTGATATCAATCAGCATGATTGTGACCGTACATTTTGTCGCCCTGTTCATATTGTCACCAGCGGCAATGTGTACCTACCCTCACTGCGCATATTTTCGTCCATCAGTACATGTTGCATGACAATGCATGACAATGCTTCCATATAAATATGACTAATCATTGCTTTGCTGTTTTTAGAAGACTGTTTTTTAAAGAATTTTCGTATATATTCCTATGTAAAACTTTGATCGCCTATTGCGGCCCAACCATAGCCCCGGGGATCATGATTTTAAGGCACTTGAATCTACACTACCCGAGGATGCTTCCATATAAACACAGAGTTCTCCACCATTTAAAATTTTACTGTGCCGCAAACTTCGCACGATGCACAAATATTAATTCGCGGTATTCGTAGCGATCAAATTTGTGTAACTTATTTTGTATAACAAGTTTGGTACACAAATGCTATGATTGTGCATACTAGTGAAAAATGAATTAATGGATGTTTAAAACAATTAAAATGTTTCCAATACAAAATATGAACCTACTGTGACACAAATGATCTGATGTATAATCCCCTCCCAACATACAAAACTTAAAAAAGGAATAAACAAACATAACAGTTACTACGATTAAAAAAAAATAGCAACGTATTGAATATAATTATAGCAGTATCCAGAAGTTTCAATTGTTAAACCCAATGTTTATAAATATAACTTTATATTTTATGCCTGCATATCGACAAGCAGAGGATGTCTTTAATTTTTCAATATTACACAATAAATGATTACGATCATATGATGTTTGACTCGAAGTGCCAACATGATTTTAGAGACAGTATTCAAAAGTAAAAACATTTAATAACTCGGTATTAGAAAATCAACCTGCATTTATACTGTTACATTTGAGCATGAAAACAAATGGATTGTCTTTATTCAATCATGCGTAATGTCCAGAGGTGGTCTAGGGGATAATTGCTATGCAAGGTTAAGCCAGACAATGGGCACTAATTAAGAGTAAAATAAGTACTATTGAAGTATCGGTTAGAGGTAATTTATGTTCCTAATTTTCTTTACAGTGGTGCAAAAATTTTACTGTGTTGCACGAATAAAATTTGAATCGTAACTGTGTCGGGAGAAATTTTACTGTGTCGGGGCCGACACAGTTAAACAGCTCATGGAGAACCCTGTAAACAACATCATTAATCACGAGCCTACTGCTGTTCTCAGTGTTGGATCCAGAAATTTCAGAAAGAGGGAGTGGGGTGAGGCTGTTCAGATTTTTTTTACAGCCCCCCCCCCCTCCAAAAAAATTCAAACAGGGGAGGTGCACCAGTACCAGATCCGCCTTTGGTTCTTCATAAGATTTTTAAAGATTTTCTGTATATATTCCTATGTAAAAGTTTGATCACCCATTGTGGCTCCATCCTGTCACAGGGGGCCATGTTTTGAACAAAAATAATATTGTTTTTATTTGTTTGTTTGTTGTTGTTGTTTAACGTCCCTCTTGAGAATTTTTCACTCACACGTACGGAGACATCACCATTTGCTGGTGGAGGACTATACCTATACTTGGCATTCAGGCCCATAGGGCAGTAAGGGTTATTTTTCGTGCCATCACCTACAAAGTTGAACGTACGCAATGTAATAAAGCTTTCACATAAGTATCATCTTTTCTGACCAAGTAGTTTTTGAGAAGAAGATTTTGAAAAGATTTTTCCTATATATTCTATGAAAAATTTTGATCACCTGTTGTAGCCACACCCTTCTCCCGAGGGACATAATCTGAATAAAACTGAATCTACACTTCATAATGAGCTTTCACATATTAAGTTTCAACTTTTCTGACACAGTTGTTTTGAGAAGATTTCTAAAATATGTCACTAAATTTTCACCAATTCTTAACTACTTCCCTTGAAAGGGAACATGGTCCTTCATTTGAACAAGCTTGAATCACTTTTATCCATGGATGTTTTGAGGCAACTTTGGTTGAAATTGCCCCAGTAGTCCTTGAGAAAAAGCTGAAAATGTGAGAAGTTTACAGACGGACGGCAGACAAAATATGATCAGAAAAGCTCAATTTTGCGCTAAAAATGTAAACCCCAACAACAATTATATCGACACAGGTATTAGAATAACGCAAAAGTCGGTAGAGCGCTCGCTCTGTGATCGGAAGGTCGTGAGTTTGAATCTCGGCCGCGACTGACCTAAGTCGATAAAAAAAATGGGTAGCAACTGTTCCTTCGCCATGTGCTCGGCACTTTGAAGTGAAAGTTGCGAGTCCTGCGGATAAGACCTGAAACCGAGGCCCCGTGTCACGGCGGGCGTTGGCACGATAAAGATCCCTCACTTCTCAATGGCCCTGAGTGCCGAGTAAAGG